GAAGCTAGTACTGCTTCCTACCATGTTTTGGGCCCCACGAAGTCGATCATCCTCAGTTCGTTATTTTTCGACGTAGGCGCCAAATATCGCTTCCTTGTCCGCCTTAGCATTAAAATCACCAAGCACGATTTCGAATCGTAAGTGGGGCAGCATTCGTATGAACGCCCCAAACGCTCATATAAGAGATCTTGGTCCGTCAGGTCATGGGCGCAAATGAGCGAGCATATGTTTTCCTTGCCTTACCCCGTCCATCGCATTTCTTGAATGGCGGTTATGTCAGCCTTTGTCATCCCGAGGATATTAACCAGCCGGCTTCAAATCATAGGTCTTTGTCGTAGTTGTCATCAAAAGAATGGGGTCTGATCCAAGGCATCCTTTTGCTTTTCATTCGAAGGGGTTTTAACGTGGCACGACCCAAACCCAGCGCATGCGTAGTTTTACTCACTTCTCACTTTAGCTCGCTTCCAAACGGATATTTGGACGTTACCCAGAGGATACGCAGTTTAAAATATCTGTACGTCGTAAGCTGCGATTAGACCTTTTGCAAAAGAATCACTTCTGGCCACTCCCAGGTGAATGACAGTAAAAAGCTTTATCCAGTTGCTTGGACTTCTGGGCACGGAACCATCGTCCCACTTTGCCTTTGTATTTGCCTAAGTGAAAAAAGTACTAACTTTTTTGACTTACACTTGTGGTCAGCTGATTAAATCAAGTGACACTTTGACTAATTTTGGCTATTTTTCTTTTGTTTATTTAATGTTTATATTTTGTTGTTTGTTTTTTTTTATGGAAGCCTAGCACTCTACCTAATTAGCCTTACATAAATCCACATTTCAAACTTCGTACAAAAAATATGAAAATTCAACAAACTTTAACATTTGCACCTAAAAATTTTAAACTTTTTATTTAGAATTTTTAGAAAAATTTTGTGTATGCAGGTTTGTAGCTCATTAAATTTTAGTTGGCAAATCGCATTTGTTTTTAATAATTTTTTTGCTGATAGTGCTAGGCATTTTCTCCCAAACAAACGAAATTGTCGAGCATGATTTATATGGAGGAAAATGCATAACATCGTCAGCCAAAAAAATTATTAAAACGCAACGCGATTTTCTAGCTCTTGAATCGTACACTTTAACCTACTTAAATTTAATGAGCTAAAAAACTACATACCTAAAATTGATCTTAAAATTCTAAATAAAAAGTTTAAAAATTGTCGGGTGAAAATGTTAAAGTTGGTGGAATTTTCATTATTTTTGTACGAAGTTTGAAATGTGGATTTATGGGGGGCTGGTTAGGTAAAGTGCTAGACTTATAAAAAAAATATAAACACTAAGTAAACAAAAGGAAAATAGCCAAAACTAGTCAAAATGTCACTTGCCTTAATCAGCTGACCACAAGGATATATACATATATATGTACATACATACATATGTATACATTAGACTGCATCACCAAAAAAGTTGCGGTTATTCCGCCGAGCTTAGAAAATTTATTATATTTTAAGACGTCAACCAAAATATTTCGGAAAAATATTAAGATTTGAGCGAGCTGGACCGATTTGAAAATACCTCCAAAAATGGAGTTTTTTATGAATAAAAATAGGGTCTTAAAGGACTTTTTGAAAAAAAAACCCTCAGATGGTAAAACAGATTAGGCTTAAAAATCTGCATAAAAATATTTAAAAATCTTTTCAACGGAATCGTAATGAAATTTTTGATGCTGTTTTTTTTTACTTTTTTCAAACATTGATTTACGAAAAACTTAAATAACTGGGCCAAAACTATTCTAATTTAGACTTATGGGATCTCGGTAGAAAGGTATTTTCCCACAATTTTTATTTATGTGCAAAAAAATTCATTTGTGTCCCAATATTTTTTTTTTCAAGTACCAACATATCCTAATTCAATTTGGAATGATGTTCGTTCATCCTACCTTTCTCTTTCATACCTTTCCAATGATACCTCATAAGTCTAAATCGGAAGAGTTTAGGTTCAGTTATTCAAGTTTTTCTTATACCAATCTTTGAAAAAAGTTAAAAAACAGCATCGAAAATCTCAGAACTTCACGCCAACGGCATTTTACAATTTGTTAAAAATACATAATTAAAGAAAGGAAACACATAAGACACATATTACCAAAGTCTGATTATTTCAATTAGTGACGGAATCACTAAATAATTAAATGTACATTATTGCAATACAAGTTTTTTGATGTCGGCAAGAAATGAAGAGTACGAGGCTCCGAAGAAGTTGATGTTCGACGAGTAGTTGTTAACCAGGCGATTGATTCTATTTTTTGGGCTAGAGAAGACGTAGTTTTTAGTGGATTTTTCCACAGCCAGAAGCCTCCTCGTTCTTAGTTCTGCCCTTGAGCAAATGAAACCAGTCTCAGCTAGAATTTCCGGAGAATCAATTATACCATGAACAACTTTAAAGAAGGTCAGGTCAGTCACTTGTCTTCTTTTCACCAGATTGGAGACATTGAATTGGCTGTAGATATTATCAACAGTCATAGTATTTTCGGCATGTGTGAAGTAAAGCATAAATTTACAAAATTTACGCTGTATTCCTTCTATGCTGTTAATTTGTTGCTACGTGTAGGGGGACCATATCACTGACCCGTACTCTTGGATTGGCCTAACAAACGCGGAGAAAAGCATTTCTAAATTCGTTGCCGGATCTACACACAAATCCAAATTCTCTATGCTCGAAGGGTTATATAACTAATATCTTTGCTGAAAGTTAGTTTGTCGTCGACGATTACTCCTAGGTCCTTTATTGTTTCAACTACTTGTATGTGCTGTCCACCTAGTTGATATATAGGTGGTGATTGGTTATGAGATCGCGAGAAGGCGATCACTGCACATTTTTCGACATTTAAGTAAAACTTGTTCAACTTGCACCAGGTCTCCAATTTGCATATATCATTCTGGAGAGCGTATTTGTCCTGTTCGCTACTAATTTCTCTATATATTTTCAGATCGTCCGCATATAATAAGTATTCAGAGTTGAAGCTATCACCGATATCGTTTATAAAAATGTTGAATAAAATTTGGCCAAGTTGTGACCCTTGCGGGACTACAGATACAACGTCGTACTCTCTTGACAAGTGACCCTTTACGCGCACGCACAGGTGTCTGCCGGTGAGATATGAGCGAAGCCACTGGAGTGCTTTGTGTTTAATTCCATATTGACTCAGTTTTTTTTAATAGTAATTCGTGGTCCACCATGTCAAAAGCCTTACTAAAGTCGATATACAATGCATGAACATTACGCCCCTTGCCTAACGGGTTGAGAATTGCGCCGATGTAAATGTATAGGTTTGTGGTTGTAGACCTGCCTCCGAGAAATCCATGTTGCTTAGTAGTAATTATGTTTCTGAATGCAAATATTAACTGTGGAAGAATTATTTTTTCCAACAATTTGGCCAACGAATTTTGACATATTGGTCTGAAGTTTGTAACATTAGATTTATCACCTGATTTATGTATAAGAGTAACGTAAGATATTTTCCAGGCAGATGGAAAATTGCCTGTCTCTAGGGATTTGTTCAGAATGTGTGTAATAGGTTCGCAGAGACTGACAGCGCAGTATTTCAAAAATATGTTTGGAAGGTAATCGGGTCCAGCGCCCTTGTTGATGTTAAGCGTCGACAACTGTGTGAAAACATCATCAAATCGAACTTCGAAATTCGATATGCCGGAATCCATGCAGCCACTGGCTGTGTCGTTATCTTGGAGTTCGTCGGTAGAGATTTGTGATCGAGGTGTATTATAGACGCTTTCGAAAAAGGACGCGAACAGATTACTAACGTTGGCTCCAAAGCTCGCAGTAACATCATTCCACACCATGGTTGATGGAATATCGACGTCACTCCGTCGTTTATTTTTCAAAAAGCCCCAAAATGTTTTAGGAGTCTGTTTGTATGCTTCTTTCAACTTTATCAAGATAGTTCGGATAGCACTGTGCACTTAATTTCTTTTCATTTCTTGCACTCGGACTGCGAATTACTAAACATCTGGTAACGATATCGGGTTTTTTTCTTTTTAAAAGTGACGTGAGCCTCTTTTTTATTTTTTATTTTAATTATGAGTTCCTTTGAGAACCAACTGGGATAGTCATTGTTAATTTTTTTGCGTAGTAGTACAAACAGGGCAAGTGCATTGCTTATAACTTCATAGAACCATTTTACTTAATCATCAATGTTTGTTATTTTATAGAGATTTTTATCCTCATCCACGACAGACACTGCTTTGCTTGCTTCAATTACACAAGAGTCTCGAAACGATTCCGTAATTTTTTTTTTTTTTATGTAAATTTTTTAAGCTTAAACGTTTTGTCATTTGAGGGGATTTGTTTGAAAAACATCTTTAAGAAACTATTTTTATTCATAATAAAACTCCATTTTTTGAGGTATTTTCAAATCGGTCGAGTATTTTGGTGGACGTCTTAAAATATAATAGATTTTATAATTCCAATGGGAAAACAGTACCGATTTTTTTTTTTTTTTGGATGGGGAGTGATGCAGTCTAATATACATATATAACTGATAGTCGTTGAACAAAATATCTTGAGTGATAACTGAAAATTACTTTTAAAAAATATTATTCAATGTAATGCGGCTATTCAAAATAAAAAAAGAAATGCTAGATATAAAGTATGCGCGTTATGTATACTGGTAGCAGAAATAATATTTTTTTATAAAAGTTTGGTTCATTATAAAATAAACTGCATATAGTTTAAAATGCGCATTTATAGGCAGTTTATTAAATATTACACATTAAAAAACAAAAGAAATGTAGCCAAAACTGGTCAAAATATTTCTATTATTTCAGCCACCAGTGTAGATCAACTTAGCTGAGCGACTTAAAATTAAAACATATGAAATACTATTGAAGTGGCCACGCAATCAGCGACATTTCTGAATGGTGCCCTCTCTTAAGACTGGCAGTTCAACAACAATGACATTATATTATAGGTAAGGAAAACTAGTTTAATTCGTTTTTACTTTATAGTTGGTCATATTGATTTATTGCTTTTTTAACATTTACACACGGCGATAAACCATCTCAGTTCAAATTCCTTAAAATTGGTCCTGTTTTATAGATAACTCTTATGTATGTATGTAGGTACATACATAAGCGTGATCATTTGCTACAATTCTCTCTGGGAAGGATATAATTTAAATTACATACGTATACATATGTATGCACATATATGTATGTATGCAAAATTATTGGTTACTATTATAACATATTTTAATAATCTTCTAATAATCTTATAAAACAAATCAGTATAAGAGTATTCGCCCATATCAAATGGGTTCTTGTATTATTGATTTTATATCCGTTTCGAGACTCTTGTGTAATGTCTGAAATTGTATGTATAAAAATACCATATTTACACACATGCACATGCTTCAACAAAATATTTATCTAACTAAGCTTTCCTTAAGTCTGCCTTTACTTAAAACTAGGAAGCAATTTAATTACGAAATCAAACAAAAAGTAAACGGGTCGTTGTCGTACTACCATTTGGAAACATATTTCCATTAGTCAGCAGGCTGTTTGCAGCAACTGTATTTACATTTGGATACTGTTTTTCACCACGTTTACTAGTGAAACCATTTACGCTGCTCGTAACTGCCCCTTGATAGTAGGGATCCAGATTTCCGTTAAGTGGCTCGTATTTAATACGATGATTTTGTGTTAGAGGTAATACCGTCTCTGACGCTCTAGACACCTGTTTGGCCTGCAAGTAGTTTGTATTTTTTTTACAATTTGCATTGTCATAGTCATTATGCATGGTAAACAAAAAACTTACCCTGTTATAGCATAACACGCCGAATATGGCCAAAGTCATGCCGACGCAGTTTAACCACGTCACAGGATTCCCTAAAATTAACAGTGATACAGCTATCACAAAAATTCTTTTTGATGCGCTGGCAACCGCATAAGTCAGGGGTGAGACCAACGAAAGTACATTAAACGCTACCACGTTCTGCAACCAGTTCAAAACACCATCAGTGAACAAAAGCGCTATCACCCGATAATCAAATCCTGTCTAAAGAAAAAAATATTCGTTTTTTTATTATTGCGATATAAATTAATGTTGGTAACGAGGAATGAACTTACAATAGCAGGGTGTTGTACAACTTTAAAACTATCAACAAAAAACCAAATTGGCAAGAACATAAATAACGCTAATTTTCCTAATAGTTCCAAAAGTCGCAGATGATGCATTCCCGTATCTTTCAGCACCTGAATTGTTTTTTTATGAAGTACTTTTTTTATGTATTTAAATACGGTTTTTACCTTTTTGGAGAAGATATTTTGCAGTGAAAATCCCATTGTCGATATGAGTGCGCTTATCAAACCAATCATGTCGAATGAAATCTCAGTCAAGGTAGCAATTCCAACACCCGTTATAATTGGTACTAGGCTGAGATACACTAGAGTGGGTTGCTTTTCACGAAATAGGAAACGTGTCAAGATTACGGTAAACAGTGGCATGGTGGCTTTAACTGAAACACATTTTGTAACACATGTTATATTATATATTAACAAGCAACAAATTGTAGAGAAAGTAAAATTAAAAAACAACCGCCAAAGTTTAGTTACGAAACAAAATATAGTACATACACTTCAATGTATATGTAGCTAACCAAACAAATATCTGCAAAGTACCAAGTGCTTTTGTTTTTATTTTTTTTACAACGCTTAACACGTCAATGATAACTGGCCAACGTGTCAAGCGATATGAGTAGATTAGCATCGGCACTCAATTGATGTTGCATTGTGCCATCCATTTGTTACAACTCACCTGTATGGGCATAGGAAACTGGTACTTTCCATAGTGAAATATGTGATGTGACGGATGAAAGAAACTTTCCCAGCGCTAATGGAATAATCAAGCGCCAATAGTAGCCTCTAGAAATGTTTTGATATTTTCGTATGCGCCACAGATTAAAGAATGGTCCACTATACAAGGCTGTACTACACAGTTGTATCATTGTCACCGTCATGGGAAATGGGAACTCGTTTAATACCATCTTGCCAATAACATTGTTGCTAGAGGATATCAGATACCAGATAATGCATAGGACTATAACCGCCACGACATGTCTGGATGAGGCGCTTCTTAATCCAGTGCGCATTTTTGTTTGCTGTACTACTTAATCACTCCCGCAACCCAGTATTCCAATGATATTCAAACACTTTTTAGCACATCTCCCTGAATTAAATATGAAATACGGGAAGCACAAACTGAATTTCGGCAGATTGTTTTAATTATTAATACGGAAGGAGAAGAGAAACAAAAATTTGCAAAATTTTATGGCTAGAGTTGCCAGGGTTTATTATCTAGAGCTGTAGCAAACCGTATGTGTTCGTTACTCAGTAGACTCGAAGTATCGAATCGTTACTCACATAATAATCTCGTTACTCGCATGTTCCGTTTATGCACCATTAACGCGAATCAATACAACCATGAATCAATTAGAATTGGATCATGGAATGCAACACAACATAATAGGCCCGTCATAATGGGTACATCGGCGTACCCAGAATGAAATTTAGGGGGGGGGGGGATCGACCCTATTAAGCTGGTATTTCAGGGTACTATTTTATATATATATAAGAAAAATTTGAAAGATAGGGGGGGCCCGAGTACCCCCCTGCACCTACCTGGCTACGCCCATGAATGGGTACTTGTACGTCTATAACGGAAGAGTATGCGAAGTGGCGTACGTAACGATACGCCACAATGAAGGTGTTGCGTCTGCAAACAAAAATCAGCTGTTCCTTATGGGGGTTTACACAAGTCAATTTCGCAGATACAATAGCAAAACATTTACACTTTTTTACTTATATATTCACTCTTGATGTATTCGTCACTGTCTTTGACCTTTCGAAGACAGTTTATTGTCTGGACGCCTACTTTAGACAAACAATGTGACAATTAATACATATTCTCAATTGTCTTGCCTTGCGTAAACGCAGGGTTATAAAACTGT